AAACATTTACAAATTCGAAAAATATTTACCCAAAATTGCGAAAGAAATACCTAATTTGGCAACATTGTTTATATATATGGATATAAATAAATATATAAAATTTTCGAAAAGAATATTCACTACAATAAAAGCAATGAAAATAAAAAATATGTTAAAAGGAAACATCCAAAGCTGTGAAGCTACTTTAAAAAAAGACTAATGAATCCAATACTGTAGTAAAAATAATGTAGTAAAAAAAAGTTTCTTTTTTATGAATGAATAGTAGGTAAATAAAATGTCGTCTGTAGTGATTGTAGTTTAGGTTTTCGATCTCGATTCAATATTCGATTTTTCGTATCGATTTTTGATCATAACACAATCAAAGTTCATAATGCATTTTTAGATTAATTACTAAAATCGATTTTATTACAACATCCAATACATAAATATTTGTTAAATTATTTTGATCGTAAAGATTATTTATCGTATTATTAATACCGATCATTCGTTTATTTATTAGACAACAATACCTACTTAATGAAGTAAAACGTTGAAATAGAGGAATTGAAATATCGAGGCATTGTAGCGAAAGTTCTTTCTTGTTACTAGGACATGTCATTTCAGTATCGACATTTCTAGCCTATAAGTTTCCTATTGTTTCTTCATGTTATAATAGAAGTAACACGCACGCGATAATGTCACGAAAAACTCAAAAAAGAATGTAAATACTTATTTTCACTTAGTGCCTTTTATAGCCCTGTATTATTATTACGCTTTTGTTCTTCTTTTTATGTGATTTCTACAAGTATATGCATATTGCTCAGCAACAGTACAGCGACACATTCGTAGCAAAAATAATATAAAACCAACATGAGAATAAATCGTACTGATTGCAAAAATGATTATTTAAATCTAAGACATCGTATAACACATGTGTACATTAAAATTAATTGAAGAGGTCTGTAACTTTATTTTTCTACAAGTTTATCGGTCACTTGGTTCATATGCAAATAGCCTCACTTCGAATTTTTTTAGTTTGCGCTTTCATTGTCAGTATAAAGATTCCTTTTAAGAAATATATATCTAAATAGTGTTATATAAAAGCCAGGTAATGAGTACCGCGAAATTTGAAAAGATATGTCGTTATTGGTATTTTTTTTAATAGTTGGAGGTCTAGTTGTTCAGGCATCCCGTCTTCGCCATTAGTTACGGGTGGCGAGACGCCTGCTGTATTGGACACAGCGTCGTTATTGGTATTAAAAATAAAATAAATTTTGGCTATAACCTATTTGTAATTATTGTGTATTTATTAAACTATTTTACAACAATAGCATTAGTAAATAAATTTCTATGACTATCCTGCTAGAAATTATAGTCGTGAGCATATTTATTTATTTATGCTTTTGTACATACACTTTTAAAATAAATATTAGGTAGTTGACCGGGAGTAGCCTATATGCTTCTCCATTGTAAATATTACGTCTACAACAAATTGCATGATAATTAATTAAGCCGTCAATAGGGAATAAATAAACAAGCAAACTTGCTTTTAAATTTATAATATTAGTAAATTTTATATCTACTACTATAGTACTCGACTTTACAGAGGCAATCTATGAACGAAATCGCTATGTATTCGCGACTTAAATAGTTTAAAAGATGTATTTATGTGAACAACTTGAAATAGGATCTCGCTCGAAATTAGTTTACTTTATACAAGTTTAGATGAAACATTTTCATCTAAGTTGCGTCGCAGTAAGACGAATAAATTACAGAATGTGATTAGACGGAAGTTTTGTATCTGTGGTAATAAATAGTAGGGCTGTTAACTTTATGAAGTACGATTAATTTTATTTAATCCAGAGCATTATGTTGTCTAGTTCATCTTACTTACTCACTTTGAATAAATAACAAGTGTAATATCAGAAAGACGAATAAATCACTTAAAAAAAATTTTACGTGTAGTAAAAATAGGGATGTCAATTTTGTAAAATGGAATTATTTATTATTGTTTATTTATGCAAGTTCTTTCAATGAGCCCGATCTAATATTGAATAAAATGCTGCGTTTAATTTCTATTTGTAGTCTTTTAAAAATAATTGTTATACCAACTATATTAGTGAACGTAATTATGATTATCATCATCTTCTTCTCCTATAAAGGGGAAGTTTTGCCAATCTTGGGTGGCGGATTGGCAACTACAGCCAAAAGGGATACTGTTGCCCATCCCTCGATCATTAAGTTTCCTTAGTTGCCTCTTAGAACACACATGGGAAAGAAAGGGGTGGCCCATTCGATGCCAGGACCACACATGATAATTTTGATGAATTACAAAAACCAAATAATATAAATAAACTAAAGAAATTTAATATTTGATCATGCAAAAATATCAATTATAATTATTAGATTCATTTCAAACCAAAACATCTTATTTAAATATAATTCTTTAACTGTGAAAACCGTCAAAATTATATCATTCGTACATAGAATACAGATATCAAATCAGTATAAGAAAGACTGCTTTTCTTCAGCGTTCAATCTTTGTCTACGGATTTTTCCGCTATTCCTTGTTAAAAGTTCGTATCAAGATTAAGTGCAATCTAGATAGTGAATCTCCTTAGAAACGTTTCAATGAAAACGATCTAACTTTTTTAATGATGTGCTTTTACGGAGAATGTGAAGTATTAATTTTGTTATAAATTATATTTATTACATAAATCCTAATTTTAATTATTATTTTCACATAACCAACACAATACTTTCAAATTACAATATAAAAAACATCCCGTCAACCAACAATTGACCAACTATTTGGTGAAGTGCTTTTTGATGCTCGATGTACCATCTAGATGTATATAATCTTTAGACGTACATTCATAGCAATTCCATTCTCCATCTAGGTATTCAATCTGGAATCTAGATTGATCGCTTTTACTGCAGTACTACTTTATTATTTATGGTTATCTGTGTCTGAACAATTTTTATTCCTGTTCTACTGGTCTCAATTTGATGTTTATATTAAGTTGATGTAATTCGATCAATTATTATATTTGATATATAGATATTGTAGCAATCACTCGTTTAGCGATTCTCGGTATTCGAGAGAGCAGAAGCCTGCAGAGGCAGAGCAGATACAGCGCCGCCTCCCAACTCGATTCCATGATTGTATACTCTAGATTAGCAAGTGAGTTGTCTCTGCCTTTTAATTACACTGTACTGTCTGTTAGGTTATTTTGAGATTGCCCATGTTTTTTGTGTACTACAATGTTTGATACGATTTATATGGTTACCTCCAGTAAAAGTATATTCCCACAGTAAAGACGTTTTCTTTAGCCCGTAATCCCAAGAATTCACTATAATATCGTAGATATTATACAAATAAAATACGTCCTATCTACTTGCTGTAAAATAAAACTACAATATTAGCAGAAATATTTAATTTTTTTAATAAAATTAATGAAATGCAGAACTCTCAAGAATTCCTTTCAACTACTAAATGAATATCTACTTAAATGTAACCCTGTTGCTTATTATGTCTCCCATATACTCTATCTAAATATTAAAATACTTTATTTAAATATCAAAAGAACAAATTAGATAATTATATTAATCTTATGGTGTAAATATACAATACTAGTGCTGGTGGACTACGGAGTTCATGCAAATTGCAAAATGCAACTTGCAGCTCGTATTTGCATAATCGTTAAATGAAATGTAAATACCGACAGTTGACAGTCGGTATTTCCTCGTTAGTTTTTAAATTATATCTGGTAGGTGTACCTGATGTTAGTACTCATTGGCGCATATCTTTCTTTGTGAAATCTCCCGTTGGTAGGTACCTTACAACATACAAAATATTAGATCTATAGTAGGTACATATTTTATTTTTTTTAGTTACAGAAAAATATAGTTTGTTCTAGACAAAATACTGACTTCTATCTATCGTAATAAAACGTATGTTTTATATACAACTTAGAATGGAAAACAAGCTCATGGTCGTCTTACAGAAATGCACAGTATCATGGAGATCACAAAGTATATTGTGTCGCCTATAATGGAAGGAATGGCAACGCATAAGAGGTTCATGTGTTGCTATTCCTGAGGACTAATGAATTATGCCTCTCTACCCTGTAATTTCACTGCCACCCTTCAAACTTAAACACAGTAATGCAAACAAATGCTTCACAGCAGAAATACAAATAAAACAGATGTACCTAAGAAAATTACTTTTGTACAAAGCCCCTGGTAAATCTATTCTGTGTATTAGAAAAGATATGGTATATTGTAGACATTTAATTTAAAATAATTGAATTTAGAACTGGAATCGTGGGTCTACAAATAGATCTTGCTTTGTATCCCAATTCATCAAACAAAAATAGCAACGTTTATATACTTAATTTAACTATTACATTATTTTGTCTTCTTTCAAATTGAGAAATTAGCACAAAAGATAATAAATGTATATTTAGGACAATACCTGTGCCTTTTTTTAAGTCTTTAAATAAATATGTTGTCCTATTACTTTTTTTACGTTATAACACGGTAGCATCACGTTTGCGTAATTGATTTGATAATTTTCATCCTTAGAATCGACTCCAATATAACAAGTTTCCACCTTCTATTTCATTTAAATTACTTTATAGATGTTGTTGATAATTATACTACACAACAAGTTATAAATATAAAATTTTAAGCAATTTACTAAATTATAAAATAATTACCTATTATTAATATTCATATATATAAATAGCAAGTTCAAAACCATAATTAAAAGTTACATTGTAATCGATGATATTATTCCAATACGAATAGTGATTTTTTTAAACATAATAATGAAGTACATAATTGATTGTTATAAATTATTATTAATTTGAGGTTTTAAATATAATTAAATATTTTGTCTTTGTCTAAATAATATCCGATTAAAATTTCATAAAGATTCGATTATATTTCGATATTACCAAACTCTATTCTTTTTTGTTGCTGTCACTGTCAATGTCATTGTCGTTGTGATGTGATACTGCGTTTGCTTTATTTATTTAGTTTTTTTTATTACGAAAATCTAAAATTCTTAAATTAAAAAGATAAATATATGGGCAAGTATTTATTACCAATTTGTTTTTTACAAGAATTAGACTAGTAACATCTCTAAAAATTTAAACAACTCTCTGTATATTGTAAAGAAAGAAAAAGGAATGTAAATATTTACATACTTCGGTGTTTAATGAAATGTGAGGAAAATATTCAAAATTACTATCCAAAAAACATTGTGCTAACAAAACATAAGATCAGAAATGTGGTAATTCAGTGTTTACTATTACAAATGGTGTGTAAGTAGGTATATAATCGGTTTTTAAACTTGTGCAGCTAAAAACTATTGCAAATATATGAGAATGAAAAGGCAAGTCAGTTGGCCTATTGTGATGAATACACCTGGAATTCAGTACGATAGTTTCCACATGAAGGTCAACCTGACTGGGTATATTGCTAGCAATGCAACTGGTATTCTGTATTACTAACAATCCTGTCCTCCGTCTATGATTGGTAGATAATGTTATAATGATGTCAAGTCCACCTTTTACACTATTGTTATACAAAAGAGCAATGTAAAAATGCAATAAAGTGGGTTACACTTATACTGGGATGATAGGTCAGGATGAATTCAGATCAGATAAATGTGAAAATTTATAAAGATGTTAGAATATTTATTAATTTATTTATTCAACTTTAATTCACTTGGGTAAATACAGTGTAAAGGGGGGAAAGGGATTGTTAGCAATGGAGTTTAACAGTCCCATTGCTAGCAATATGCTTTATTAGTTCGACCTCCACGTGGTTCCCCCTGGAAACCAACATGAACAATTCTTGTTGAATTTGTCACGATGGGCTAACTGACCTACTTCATCCTCACCTATCATCCTTCATTGGTGCCCCGCTGGTGTATACCGATAGCATGGGTGGGGTTACCATTCCATTATCATCCATTAAAAAAAAAACTACAGTCTAAAAGGTGATCTTAACATTACATTCTGGGATTATTTATTAGTCCACCACAAAATATCTATAATGCAAATAAATAAATAAAATAATTTTATTTCACATAAATTAAGTAGTTGGAATTCTTTTTGTAGTTCTTAAAATAAATGTTACCTTTCAGGAGATTACATTCAACTATATATGAATCATCAGGCCTGGAATCTTGTCTAGACAGAACATGAAATTTGTATTCTGTTCTCAGTATGACAATTTACATATAGCAGCATATAATATATACTCTAGATACCACCACTAGAATCTAAACAATATTGTTATTAATATATCTTTGATAGTGCATAAATGTGGGTAATTTATGACTGGAATGTAAATTCTTGGAATGAACCTGTTACAGAAGGTATGTATGTATATTGTATTGAATTTGTTAATATCGTTATAGTCCTAGAATACTGACGGATTTGACAAATGTTAAATATATATATCCATCAGTATTCTACGACTATGACGATATGTAAAAAAATTTTTTCTTTCTTTCTTTATTCTTTATTGTACACAAACATAATGTTAAGAACAATTAATTTTGAATGTTTTCTTTTTATGCAACTTAGAATGGCAAACAAGCTGACGGCCCATCTTATGGAAAGTGGTAAGCGTCGCCTATAGACATGAGCAGTACCATGGACATAACAGAGTATACTGTTTCGACCATGATACTCCCCATGCGTTGCCATTCCTCACTCAGGACTTAGGTTTTTTTTTTTATTGGATGAAAATGGAATGGTAACCCTGCCTGCGCTAACGGGATACGGGATTATGATGAATTCATCTGGAATTAATCATGATAGTTTCCAGGGGGAACCACTTTTATTTTATTTTATTAATTATTACAGTATTGCGACTGAGACGGTTAACACTTTGTATCAGGTGGGCCATTAGCTTGTTTGCCGGTCTTGGTCGAATAAAAAAAAATGCCGCAACGAGGACGCCGTATTGTTTTCAATTATGATTCAGCTAGAAAGAACTATTTGCAAAGAATAAGAATTTTTTATAAAAACAACAGTGTTAGTAGAAAAGATAGAAGCTCATTGGATCATGTAATAAAAGATATACTATCTGAAGGTCAACACAGTAAGTTCGCCAAGAAATATGAAGTTGTAAAGGAGAATGGCAAAAAGATTTTAATATTGCGCAGGACTGAGAAATCAAGAGGGATTATTCAAGTAATACCACCAGAAGAATGTTTTGATATACTAGTGGATGTGCACAGAATCACTGGCCACTGTTATAGTAATATGATGAAGGTCATAAACAAATATTACAGCATACCTAGTTTTTGTGTCAACCTTTTCTTCAGAGAAGTGATAAAATCAATTTCCACAAATGATAGTTTAAATAATAAAGATAACAAAGACCACACCCAAGTAGAAATTATTGATATGAGCAAAGAACCTGATGGTAAATTTACAAAGATTCTCTTGTATCACAATAAAAGGACAGACTTCATTGTGTTGAAACCTATTATGAATAATGACCCTAACGAAGTAGCATTGGAGTTATTGAATATATTCCTAGATTTTGGTACGCCCGCTAAATTGTTCTTGTTAAGGGTATCATTTCTGTTTTTCAATGAAGTATTAGATGTATTGAAACAAATATCTCCTAATTTTGAACATTTGGTTGTTGAGACAACCCGACATTACAATATGAAATTCCAAACACTTATTACTAAGAGCCTCGACATTTGGATGACGACGTGTGGCAGCAAGAATTGGTCAATTGCATGTCACGTATTGCAATGGAAATTAAACACTAGAAAATTAAATGATGAAGGGAAAACACCTTATACGAATATGTTTGGGCCGTGGCCGTCAAAATGTGAACTCGTTGAGAAAGATAGTTCTCAATTTACAGATAATATTATAGAGAAGTTTCGTTCAGAAAAGGATCCCGGTGTAATCAATGTTGATCCAGATGACGAAATTAATAAAAACTTAGATACTAATGACACTGTAATGGAGATAGATGATGATTCTAATTCAGACGCGTCTAATGAAAATGTTAATATTGATGATAATGATAAAGAAGAAATGGTCAGTCTTGATGAAATTAATACAGATAACATATCACAGAGTGATGATGTCGATCCGCTTGGTGCAACGTTAGAACCAGTGCCGTCTACGTCGAAACAAGCAGACGATAATACTGATTCGTGTTGCTTATGTAAAAAGCGAATACTTATTGCGCACGAGTGCGGACAGTGCAAGAAACCTTTACACAGATCGTGTGGTAAAACAGTGTCAGCTGACGATTCTGTTTTAATCAGTTGTGAAGAAGATGAAGAATAAGCCTTATATTCTATAGAACACGACCTTTTTTTGAAAGCTTTTCATTTTCACATTTCGAAATGTTTTCATATGTTCCTTAAGATACCTAATTTAGTTTACGTTTAAGTTACACGATAATTAAATTAATTTACATTTGATTTCATGACTACTTTGTTTACTAGGTACCTATCGGATTTTTTTATGAATGTACCTAGAATGTTAAGTATGGAAGATTGGAGTGGAGACTTCTAATAATTCAAATTAAGTCAGGCTTCGACTGAGGACATATATATGTATTTCTTTTGTTTAAAATGTATCAAGAACAAAAATATGACTTGGTGTACAGTAAGCAGATTTAGGATGAGTATTTTGTAAGTTCATAATTGTTATGTTTTTGTTAGTAGTCGCATCCAAAATTGTTTAGTGCATTGTAACTAAATATATAGGAGGGAGAAGGGATTGTTAGTGATGTGGATTATCAGTTCCATTGCTAATAATATACCCTAACAGGTCGACCTCCTCCTGGTCTCCCCTGGAAACTATCGTGCTGAATTCCAAGTGTATTCATCAGGATGGGCTAACTGACCTGCCTTTTCATCCTCACCTATCATCTATCAATGGTGCCCCGCCAGCGTATATCGTTAGCGCAGCCGGGGTTACCATTCCATTATCATCCATTAAAAAAAAAAAAAAAAAACTGAGTATATAGGTACACTTGGTTTCGAAAAAATTCAAGACTGATTAACTTGTAAATACTATTTATTGTAAATATCATCTGTCTTTAACATATATAAACTTTATACGAATAAAGCTATATAAAATTATAATACGTCTATTTCATTTTTACCAGAGGAAGACTTCAGTATTTTGGAAGGATTCAAGTTGCTTACTTAGGAATCTTTTATCCACCCGTGTTTCTGTTTTGAAGCAGCTGTACTTACGTGGCTTTGTTTCGATTTAAAGGGTAGGTTATGGCAGTGAATTACAGGGTATGGAGGCATAACATACGTGATAACGTTTGGAATAGCTATCGCCTTGTCATTCTTGAGGCGTGGCTCACAGAAATGACAATTCACTAGGGGTATCGTGAGTGACCGTGCATTTTTATTATTTTTTATAAAGTTTCATTTATACTCTATATCTATGATGGTCTTTATGTAATTTATTGTCTGTAATCTATGTATATGACGATGTAAAAATTAAAATAATTAAACATTGTGTTTTTTTTTTAATATATATAAGGGTATTTGAAAATCCCAATGCAAATTGTTTACATCGGATTTTCCCCTTGTATTTCGCATATAAAGAATAGTATTTTAACGCATATAAAATTTGAGCGCATTTTATTAGAAGCACTGTGTGTGATAGTTAAATATATATAAATATATATGTATTTAGGTCTATTATACTTACATAATAATATATCACGGGAAATATATATAAATACTAGCTGACCCCGTAAACGTTGTTTTACCACTTATTGCCAAATATAAAAATCCCAATTAAAATACAGGGGCTGATCGTAAAACGATGAAAATTTTAAGTTGTATGTATTTTTCAATGCTAAATTATAATAAAGTAAAATTAAAAAATTTACAAAAAAAAATAATTTGGGGTGGGTCACCCTTATTATTGATGGGTATGAAAAACAGATGTTGGCCGATTCTCAGACCTACCCAATATGCACACAAAATTTCATGAAAATCGGTTAAGCCGTTTCGGAGGAGTTTGGTAACAAACACCGTGACACGAGAATTTTATATATAAGATAGTTTGTATAAGTTTATTATTACGTGTTATTAAATGCCTTTAGGCTATCTATTATATTTACCAAATGTGTTTTGAATGAATTAGTACCGTTTTTCTTCTTGATTATGTGCTGAAGAGAGTATGGTTCCGTAATGTTTAATAGTTCCCACGCTAGTTGGTGATTTAAACGGCTGCTGGCGAAACGGGGACAGTATTTCAGAAAGTGTTTAAGGTTCTGAATGTCGTAATACATAGGCATAATTCATCATTTGTAAAAATTGTGTTTAAAAAAAAACCGACTTCAATTGTGATAAAACAACTTATTTTGTTTTAAAAACTAAACTACGGTACCGATTTTGGTAAAATTTCTATTGGACCCATCTGTAATTAGATTTTTTTTTCAAATAAAAGAAGAAGTTTCCAAATCGATTTAGAACTGACAGAGTTATGAAATAGTAAACAAAAATGGAAAATCGATTTAGAACATACTTTTTTTTAAAAGTTGGTTGGTTTAAATTTATATCCAGTGATTCTTAGTACTTACATATTTTATATCATTCAACCCGTCCCTCTTAAGACAACATCAGAGCCCAACTGCGGTTGTCAACTCGCCTTCCAAGCCTGGCAACTACTGAAAAACCCCACAAAAAAAGGAAGACTACAAAAGTCGATTGCTTGGGTACCTCTGTCCCATTCGTGTTTCAACCGTGAAGCAGTTGTGTTTGCATGGCGGTTTGAAGGGTGGGATATGGCGTGAATTTACAGGGTACAGAGGAATGACACCTGAGTTCTCAGGAATGGCAACGCATGTGGAGTATCATGGGCGAAACAGTGTACTCTGTTATGTCCATGGTACTGCACATGTCTATAGGCGACGGTTACCACTTTCCATCAGGTGGACCGTCAGCTTGTTTGCCATTCTAAGTTGTATAAAAAAAAACCCCAATAGGGGGAGGCCTATGTTTAGCAGTGGATAGATAACGGCTGATATGTTGATGATGATGTCATCCAACATAAACATATCGAAGTGATTGACATAGTCCGAAGGTTGGGTCCGCTAGTTCCCGGTACTATTAATACCATAAGAACAAATACTAGGATAATTATTTATTGTTAGGAGAATAACTTTCTTTCCATGTGTTATTTCTTTTTTTTTTAATGGGTGAGAATAAAATTATTACCCCCGTCTGCGTTGCTGATATACGTCAGTGGGTCAATGACTGATGATAGGTAAGAACGAAACCAGTTCAGTTAACTCATCGTAACGAATTCAACAAGAATCGATCATCATGGTTTCCAGGGGGAACCGTGTGGAGGTCGACCTGGTTGGGTATATTGCTAGCAATAGAGTCTTTAGTCTACATTACTAACAATCCCTTCAAGCCATCGGTGGATGTATTAGACCAAGATATCTCAGAGCTCATCCTTAAGCTGAAGTGGCAATGGGCTGGTCACGGAAATCGAAAAATGGCAAAGAAAGGTTCTTGAGTGGCGACCTTGTACAGGTAAACGTAGTGTAGGGCGACCCTCCACTAGAAGGAGTGACGACGTTAAATGTATTACAGGAAGTCAGTGGATGCAGGTGGCTTGGGACTGTTTTTTATAGTAGTTTATAAAGTAAGCCTATGATCAGAAGTAGATAACAGCTGATCATGAATGTAAACATGAAGTGTGTATTACAGTATATTCGGTTATGTCCACCATTCGGTCCACCTGATAGAAAATGGTAATCGTCGCCTATAGATATGTGCAGTACCATGAACATAACAGAGTATACTGTTTCGCCCATGATACCCCCCATACGTTGCCATTCCTGAGGACTCAGGTGTGATTCCTCTGTACCCTGTAAATTCACGCCATATCCCACACTTCAAACCGAAACACAGCTATGCAAACACAACTGCTTCACGGTTGAAACACGAATGGGACAGGTACCCAAGCAATCGACTTTTGTACAAAGTCTCCCTCTGGTGTGTCTCCCCAGTGGCCCACCTGCAATATGGTTTTATCTGGCGGATTTCTATTTAGGGATGATAGGTGGGGAAAAAGTGTGATCACTTAGTCAATCGTGACAATTATTTCATCTATTTATCTACATATATATTTAATTATAATTCATACATACATAGACACGTATCTTTGTACAATAGATATAGAAATCATATAAATGACGCCAATTCATTACGGATTACAAAATGCACAAAAGGGGAATTAATTGCGCGAGTAACGGATTAGTTGATGTTTTTAGTGTACCTAATACGAGTAATTGAATATAATATTATAGAATGAATTATTTCCATTCATTGAATTGCAATAACTTTAATACTTGTTGGAGACCAATTAGAGAGATTGGATATGAAGGTTTATAGTAATTCATCTGAGAAACCCATAAACTTGGTATAAGGTATTAAACCTGTCCATTCGTAATTCTATAGAGTCCATAGAAATATGGATATAATTTATTGGCAGAACAAGTTATTTACCCCTTGAGTCGATTTTTACGTTGGGGGATAATAGATTGTTAAAAATGGGGATTAGTAGCTCCATTGTCAGCAATACACTCTGTTAGGTCGACCTCCTCGCGGTTCCCCCTGGAAACTGTTGTGTTCTATTCCAAGTGAATTCATCACGATAGGCTAACTGACTTGCCATTTCATTGTCACCTATCATCCCTCACTGGTGCCCCGCCAGCGTATACCCTTAACGCAGGCGGGGTTACCATTCCATTATCATCCATTAAAAAAAAATTGAGGCAGGTAAACGCAAAATAGTAAGTACTCATATGTGTACTCTTTATAAGTATTAGATCATGAAGTATGTTATACTAAATCTATGGTGTGAGTATTACTAGTTATATTTATGCACACGGCGCCTTTGTTTGCATGACTGTGTTTCGGTTGGAAGACAGCAGTGAAATTGCAGGGCACAGAGGTACCTATAATTTTTACACTTTAAGCTCTCAGGAATGACAACCTATAAGAAGTATAGGGGGTCACAACATATTCTATTGTCTGTGGTCTTTAATAAATTGAGCCATTAGCTTGTTTGCCATTAAAACTTGCAGTTATAAAAAAGGGAAAACAATTAAGTACAATAATTTACTTATGCTTTGTAAAGGGAACATTAAATGGAAATAATTCAAGTACTCCAATATTATTTTTAAAACTTATGTTCATGTTTTAATGCAATGCTATTTATTTATTTAAATTTTGATCATACCACAAACATAAAAATAAACAATGACATATAGACAATTCAAGTAAAATACAGTAACATAAAATACAGGTTAAAATATATACATAAAGGTACAAAAGGCGGTCTTACCGCTAGGGCAATCTCTTACAGACAACCTTTGGTTAAAGGAAAACATAGAAGTGGGTAGGTGGTGCAAGAGTGAATTCATAATTTTTACGTACGTATAATATAAAAATCTGTAATGCACAAAAATATCTATAATACATATCTATTATTTATTAAACTACTTATTATAACAAATAATATATACCACATATACATGCACATATAAATATACATATAGCACACACAAGGAAATATGACGAGTCTAGTAAAATGAGAAAAGAAATAAAGTCTATATACAAATACTCCAGTTTTAAGGCAATTGATTTCTGCGCCTTTTAAGTTTCGTTGAGTTAAAGTAGTGTTTTAGTAAAAATTTGCTACAAAGCTTCGTTCAGGCGCTGTAAAAATAAAAACTTCAACAGGGAATTGTAAATATTAGATAGTCGTTCTTTTATTTTCCGCACATCGTTAAGCAATAATTTTTATTTATCTATATAGTTGAAAAATTCGAAATTCAAAATAAGGGAATCGCTAAGTATTGGCATTTTTAAGCGTCGAGTAAGGGAGCATTCCTTATTACTATGCTGATGTGTTGTATATATATACGTATATGTATGTATGTATGTTTCTTCTTTTTTTTATTTATCATTTATTCGAATATTTATATGTTTACAGGGTTTATGTATTTTGTGTAATTAATATGTATTATAATTAACATGTATCTTAACACATAATATACATAATAACTACATATATTTGTATGATAAGTATATACGTA